GCGCGGGGCCGAGGCGGCGCGCGGGGCCGCCGCCATTTTTGGAAGCGGGCTGGAGGGCGCTGGGTTCTTGGGGCTGGCTCCGCCGGGGCGTCGTTGCACCGTCGCCCCTCCTGCTGCTGCTCTCTCGGTTTCGTGTTGTGTCTGCCACAGAGTTTTTAGCTGTGGAGTCCCTGTGAGGGCTGGGGACTTGGCTTCTCAGCTTCTCCTCCTAATTGTCAGTTCCTCCTATTCCCAAACTACCAACAGCATTATGTGAGGAAACTTCCATGATTATGTGAGAAACTTTCTATGATTATGTGAGGAAATTTCGGTGCTTTTTTGGTGGGAATCTTACTTTGATTTCCCTCCGTGGCCTCAACCCTGGGCTGTGCTTGGGAGGGAGATCCTGTGTGTGAATTGGCAGACTTCAGCAAGAGGTGTGCTTGCAGAGGCCCTGCCTTCTGAGGGAAGGGGCTGAGTTCAGACTAACTTCGAACTGTCAATTTATTCCATGCTCTATTTTGATTTCTTGCCGTTGTACTAACAAATCCTAATGAGGCATCCATGACAGATGATGGCTGGAACAACTATCGCATAAGTACCTCATTGAAAGTGGTTGACCCTATCTGTCAATGGCCAGCAGTGCTTGCTGGCTGCAACAGGATTCTGTGTGTGTCTGCCTTTCTGAGAGCTCTCACCATATGCTTGTCGGTTGCAATTTGAAAGAGCACAAAAAGTATGAGATTAATTTGTCATTCAGAGAGGTGACAAAGTCACAGCAGAAAGTCAGCTGCCTCTTGTAAAACAGGTACCTCTTTTTCCTCCCCGGCCCCTGCTATCAAATCTACAAGCAGCTGGTAGGATGGCATAGGTCTTTAAAACTGGCTTCACAGCCCTGCAATCCCCTGCAAAATGCTAGCTGGTGTGTAGATTTATCGTTATGTACTTGTGCAGATGCATACATCCAAATTTGATTTAAAAAAATAAAAAAGTTTTAAGAGTTTTGCATTGTGGTAACAAGGTTTTGTGTTCTGTCTCTTCAGAAACTGCCCCAGCAAGGACTGAGTGGCTGGTTGTTACTCCCCATATGCTGTTTGCCAGGCCAGGATCAGGATGCTGCAAGAGTGAAATGAATGACAGTGAGTTATTGGAAGTTGCTGTTGAAGAGGAGTGGGCGTGTGAGGAGTCCCCTGCAAAAATTCTGGTGCAGAATCACCCCTGAGTCACCAGCTAGGCAGAGAGACAGCAGGTTTTTAATTGGTTTCATAAAGTGTCCTGGAGCAAGATGTAGCTGTAATGTAATCCACTAGGCAAAGGGGAATACCGCCAGTAAATTCAGTAAATTAGGAACACCCCTTTTTTTTCCTTTTTTTTTCCTTTCTTTTTTATTTTATTTTTGTGATCGTGTGTTAGCTAACACTTTGGGTTGGTTTTTTTTTTTTTTTCATTTAAAGCTGTGAATAATCTTTTTCAAATGAAGTACTGTGCTAACTCTTGCAGAGATTGATTCTGCATTTATTCCTAAAGCTACACCTGTTTGACAGTCTACTCAGCCCCTCCAGGCAAGGAGGAGATGAGAGTCCCAAGTTTTTCTTCATACAAACAGTGTAACTTAGGAGTGTTCAGGCTTGGAAGAGTTTGCTGGCAGACCTAATGGAGGACTTACATTAAGGGTGCCCGACCGCTGGACTTCTGAAGTAAAACTGTTCTGTGATAATCTTGTGGATACAGGATTGGTAGCAGTACCAGAAGAATTGCAGGGGATTGGAGCTGGCAATGTCAGTGAGAGAGCAGGAAGCACCACTTATGTTTTATTTGTGGATGAGAGGAAGGGAGCGCTGTGGTTTTTGAGAATAGAGGTACTGAGTCTCTGCGAGGTGAGACAGGAGTAGGGTTTGAAGGCGCTGGGAACATAAACTGTACGTTTTAGCCGAGCAGGTCAATGTGCTCTGTTTAGAGCTGTTACTGTACAAAACCTGAACCACTGATGTGCCAATGGCACAGCGTACTCATCTCCCATCCCAGGAGCCAAGCCTGTAAGCGGTGGTGGGGCTGGGCTGGTTACATCAGGGTCTGAAGCTTCCTTCCCACCTGAAGTGGCTTTCCCCAGTTCTTGCACAAGATTGTGCTGTTTTGATTTTCCACAGTGCAGGGCGTGCTGAAGGTCTCGACATTTTAGCCAGCCAACTAGAAGTGCACACAGCCTCCTTCCTGCAGGAATTCAGGACCCGGCCGAAATGCCTGGGCCTTGTTTGTCAGGAAGAGGCTTTGTAACCTTCTGTAGCAGGAAATCAGCAGCGCTGACCTCAAGGCAGCTTAGTCATCTGGTGCTTTGAAGGTTGGTTTTTCCCTGGGAAGGTTGTCCTGTGTCTTGAGGAAGGCCTCTGAGTAACAGAGATAACGCGCATGGTGGGTTCAGGCAGTAGAGCTGATGCAGCACAGGGACAGGGATACACGGTGAGTGCAAAGGCAATGTTGCAGACCTTGGCTGTAGAGCACCAAATTGCTTCTGTGCCACAGCTGAGGAGCTCCATTAGGGCAGCTGTGACTCCAGCCAATACAGGGAGTGTTCTGAAGGCACTGAACAGTGGCAGAGGGCTCTAAGTGTCACTGTCCACCTTCTAAATTTGTGGATCGGTATAGTCCTAGCAGATAACATCCATTCTGTGGTGGCTTTCCCATAGGCTGCTGTCACTTACACAGGATTGGTGTATTAACAAGTGCTGGGGGCAAGTAAGTCAGGTTTGTGGTATGGGATAAAGCAGTCTGTGATGTGGAGGTGCAAAAGTTAGGATAACTGCTGTGCTGCATGGTGTGAGCCTGACTTGCTAGCCATTCCTTAGGAATTCCTTAGGGACCAGGAGTTGCTGTCTGGCATGGGTAACAAGGAAGCTGCCATCTTTTCTAAAGCTTTACATAGATGCTGAAAAGATCTGGAAAGGATCTATCTCCTTAGTATCCTGTGAGTGAGGCCTTGGAGAAGAGAGTCTATAATGAGCTAGCAGTGCGGTGCGGTCCACACAAAAACTAGGGATCATTTTAAAAGGTTTATTGGGTATTTTTGACAATCCTGTGTCCTTGGGCTTTGTGCAGAGCAATTTCTACACCTGAGATGGGTTGTCTGGGCTGCCAGTCACTGAGAATTTGAGGCTGAGATCAAGTGTCTTGTTTGTCCCTTCTACTTGAAGGAAGGTAGATTGGATGTCTAGGTGGCAGACCAGAAGGAAAAACAAAAGGAGACTGGAAATCCCAGAGTGGAACAGCATGGGATGTGTGGGATCCAACACAGCCCTCTCCATCGAGTGGTGTCTCTTAATGATGTCATGGGTGGCAATGTCAGTACAAATGCGCGTGTTTCAGCAGATCTGGTAGCTTCTCATGAAGTGACAGAATGGACATCTTTGACTCTGGAGTTGTCTATAATCTTCACAGTTGAATCCAAATTCTGCCTTCAAAACACTAGAGGTGGCCACAGTCCACTTCATTTCCGTAATAGCCCAAGTAAGCTTTTAGTAATTTATCTCATTTGCACAGAATCATAAAATAATTTAGGTTAAAAGGGACCTCAGGAGATCACCCGGTCCAGTCACCTGCTCAAAGTGCAAGTAGCTATTCTTTTATGGCCCTAAGATAAACCCAAAATCCATTTCAAGGGCAGAGAAAACATGATTTGTTTCCTTCAGCCTACAGTTTGACAGTGAGGAGCCATGGGGAGTCAGTGTTTTATAGGGGGAAATATTTAGGTAGTCTTCTGAGCAGGTATCATTACTATGAAATGTGTTAAAATGCTTGCCTAGCTTTTAGGTCTGAACCAGATTGTAATTATCCTCCACAGAGCAGGGGCAGAATTATTAATCACTGTACTCATATGTCTGAAACTACTCTCAGTGTGACTCCAGTGACACTACAGCTGGAGCTTTGAACACAGTTGTCCGGTGTGGTGAGAGCATGAAAAAGCAGCACGCTCTTGGTGAACAAATAGGACCTTGCATTCAGTTTACAGGGCTTAAAGCTTGGAAAATGCCATATTTGATTTGTAAATTGGGTGTACTTTATCCAGAAACTTACTCTGCCATTTATGAAAACACTTTTTAGGAGAGAAATTAATTTTCATCTGGAAGGATTTGAAAAGAAGCAGTTAAAGAAATAATTTTTCCCCGTCGAAGTTTTCTAAGTAGAGAAAGAACATGGATCGGGAGAATTTATGTCCTGGACATACTTCCTTTTCTGCTGCTGCCTTCCCACATGTTCAGGCCCATAATATCCCTGTGGCAACTCTGAAAGATGTAGAAATAGGAAAGAAATTCTAAATTAACCGGCAGCATATGTTTGTCCCTGCTTTTAATCCTGCAGTCATGTCGAAAAATGCGTTCCGCAGTTTGTATTTCTCCATTTTCATTCCTGTCTCTAACCATTCCCATTCTTTTTCCTTGCAAATTCTTTCTGCACACATCTCGAGGGTGGGCATTGCCTTGTCACTCGGAGTGACACTCATCTCAAAGAACGTTGGTGTCTGCAACCTTCTTTTGAGAAAGCCTTCATGGGTTCCCTTTGTAGGCAGCGAAGCCCAGAAGCCCCAGCTGACCAGATATGGGTTGGAGTAGGTTGAACTGTGCTCTGAATGGCTTTGCTTAGTTCTCCAGGGCTTGTAAAAGGGATGCAGGGTGGTCTCCTCAGACGCAGAGATCTGCATAGTAATTCCTTGTTATGTGATGATAAAATGCGGCTTTATTCACATTTAACCAGTTTGTTCAGTTTCCTTGCTCTATTCACAGTAAATACACGGCTTCAGCCTCTGAAGATGGCTTCAGTCACGTAGCAGTCATTCCCAGGGTGGACAGTTGACTCATCCCTCGTAGCTACAGTCTCTGGTGGCTGTCCATGCTCTCTGCACTAAACACAAAGCTCGTCAGCACATGTGACTACTGATTTCCTTTAATCAGTGAGCGCTGCTTGTACTACAACGTCCCGATGGAATTGCATGAGAGGTTTCCTCTGTTAAGTACTGTGCCTTTCCAAATTGCTTCCTACCAGCCTGCTGAATGATATAAGCAGAGAACAGAGTTTTAGCGGGCAGTCACTCATCAATACCATCCCGCTCTTAAGCCAAGGTAACGACGAATATGCCTGCATTTTCCCCAGGAGCGTGCAGTTCTGATCCGTGGATGCAGGTATGTAGATGTGTGTAATTACCCTCAGCGTGTGTGCAGCAAAACCAGTTGAACAGCATGTTTATAGAAACTGTCCTTAAGAGCGATTGCCTCTCGAAGGAAGGAGCGTAGCTCATATAAGAGGAGTGGGACTGTCTCCAGCCAGCCCTGGGAGACGATGCTGAGAGCATATTGAAAAGCCGCCTTCAGCAAAAGCTTGCCAGTTTAACAACTCTGTTCACTGTTCCTATTGCACAGTGGGCTCTTTGACGCAACAGAAAGGGCTGCCTTCTTTTTTTTTTTTCCTTTTTTTTTTTTTTTGTCTTTCTCTTAAATGTGCCTGGCCAAATTA